GGAATCCCACATTGGGAGGATCCCAGTCGGGGGGGTAACCGTGGGGCCAGGAAGCACCCCGAGCATAGTGTGAGCGTCATGCTACGTCACTGACAAGTCACGTAACCGACCCTGGCAAGAGGCAGGCCAGAGCTTGAGGGGAGGGGCCGACCTTCTCAGCACCGCTAAGTCCTCGGACTGGAATTTTCTGTTGTACAGCCCACTTTCTTCCTCCTCAAAAAGTCTCTTAAAGAACTTATTACGTGACGTTCAGAAATGAATTTGTAAAATCCAAAAGAGCCGTATGAGGATGGACCTGGCAGCCAGCGCTTCTGTGGTTAACATCCTACAGGAGCTGCTTGTTCAGGGAGCCCAGCAGGTCCTCTCTCGCCCTCTGGGCTTCAGCCTGGCTCTCTCCACAGTCCCCTTCTGGGCAGTGGCCCCGGTGGTGGAGGCGAGGTAACTGGAGCATGACCCAGCAGGCCGGGCCATAAACCACAGGGCTGGGCCTCCAAGACCAACCAGGCTGTTAAGATCCTGACCACACAAGTCTCTCCTGCCCGCAGGGAGAACATTCGAAGTGTCTCTGAGCCTGTGACGGGACTGAAAACATTTTCTCTCTCTCCTCAGCGGGCCAACCCTGAGGCTTGTGGTCTTGGAAGCCAGAGTGAGGCTGGCGGCCTCGGTTGGCCCAGCTCTCGGCCGAGGGTATAATGCGGGTGGACAGAGGGGGCGGAGCTCTGCCCTGGCTGGTTCCTGGGGCTTGTCTCGAGAATGACAAGAGTGTGACAGCCTGGGGGTGGCCCCAGTGGCTTTGTATCCCAGGAGAAGGGACTGGGCCTTGAGGACTCTTTCCTTTGGTATATGGTGGCTTTCAGTAATTCCATTTTCATGGAATTTGGGGTGTTCTAATCAAATATGTTGAACTGAAAAGCTGGGGCGCATCTCTCTTTTGTGTGTGATGAGTCGGAACCGAGGCCTGTGGTCCTGGGGGCCTGGCCCTCCCCCGCTCCGTGGTAGACGTGGCGATGACAGCCCTTCCTTGACCTAGACAACACTGGCTAATGGAGAGTTTTGGGCTGTTCCCAGTCTGACAGTTCGCCAGAAACAGTAATTATGTTTTCTGGGATGTTTCAAGAGGTTTGAGGTAGAGCAGCGTAGGGACAGCTGACCCGGAAAGCCAGGGCCGAATTTATTTGCGCACGTTCACTGAACACACAGTAGGTGTTGAGCCCGTGCGGGAACTGGACTAAAGCAAAGAGCCACAGCCCTTCCCTTGGGAAGCGAGGCGCTAGGAGGGGCCAGGCCCAGAAACGCCTAGTGCGAGAAAGGGCGTAGGGTGCCCTGGTTACGGACTCCGTGTGGCCCGGGGTGGGGGCCATCAGGAGGAAGGAACGTCCGGCTCCCTTGCGTGAGTGGCCGCGGGAGCCACACCAGAGCGTCACGCACACCTTACGGTCTCTGCTTCCATGTGGCAAACAAAACTCTGTGCTTGGGCAGGGACCAGCCACACTCAGTGAGAAAGCTCAACTCACATAAAGGGGACTCTAGCGCCACCTGCTGGCCAGGTCTACCAGACCCTTCCTGAAGCGGCTGTGTGTGTGTGTGTGTGTGTCCCACTTAGCCTCTGCCACTTACTACAGACTGGAGTCGTGGACTCACTCAGCTCCGCTGTTCCCCTCAGTAGAGTGAGGAGACCGATGCGGGCCCGCGTGCTGCCGGGCACCGTCCCTCAGGGTCTCCCAGTCACCCGGAGCACTCCCCTTTGGCCGGGACCTAGGTGTCTCAGGTGTCTCGTGTTGGGCTGCCCCTCAGCGGCACCTGTGCCCACCTCTCCTGCCTCTCCCCTCTGCCTTCGGGCCCCTCCCACGCATACCTGCCCTTGTCAGCATTCCTGATCCTCGTACACCTTTAGTACCGTGGAGCTCGTCCCCAGGGCTGCCTTGTCCCAGAGCTCAGAGTGGTAAATGGTCAAGTAACCGAAAAGATCACTGTCCATCCTGATAAAGAGCCTGGAAACAGGGAGTAAAAAGGGACCACACTCCCAGTCAGTGCCAAGTGTAAAATAAGCCCAAGTCACGCAGCACGAGGCGTGGAGACTTAAAAAGCCGAAGGGAGACGTGATGGAAGACGGGGACAGTGGATGCAGACACAGGCAAGGTGGCGGGACCGCCCTGGGCTCTGCCAAGTCCCACGGGCCTCTGCACCCTGACCCTCCTTCCGAAGGCAGTTGTCTTCATAGTGTGATGGGCCTGAAGTTCGGGTGGCAGAAGATAGTCTCTGTCCCCACCCTCTCACAGGACG